TTTTATTTTTTCTTTTATTTGTTGAACTAATTTTATATCTTCTTGATTAAAAAATCTTTGTCCTGTAGGAGATGTCTTTGCATGTAAAGGTCCTGCTATTTTTCATAAATCTTTTATAAATGGTCTAGCATAATTTACCAATCCTAGAAATTTTTGTATTTGTTTTAAATCTTCTAGTTTATCTGGGAATTCTAAAGCTTTCTTAGCAATATGGGGTTGTAACTTAATTTTACCTTCTCCTATGTTAACTCCTAAGAAATCTATAAATTCTTTAAATAAAAACATTTTCTTCTTACTTATTATTAAACCATGTTTAATAAATTCTGAGAATACTATTTGTAAGTGTCCTCTATGTTCTTGTTTATTTTTACTAAAAACTAAAATATCATCAATATATACTATTACAAACTTACTATGTCTATTAAAAATACTTTCCATTTTTCTTTGGAAAATACTTGGTGCATTCTTAATTCCAAATGACATTACAAGCCATTCAAAATGTCCTTCTGGACAGGTAAAGGCTGTCCACTTAGTACTTTCTGGGTGCATCTTTACTTGCCAAAATCCTGATTTTAAATCAAATTTACTAAAAATTTTACAGTCTTGTATTTTATTTATTAAAACTGTCTTGTCTGGTATGGTATAAGCATCATCTATAGTATTATCATTTAATCTTTTATAATTGATAACCATTCTGCTTTTTCCTCTAACAATTTCTGAATGCTTTCTAACTATAAAAGCTGCTGATCTATGAGGACTATCTGATTTTCTAATAACTCCTAATTCTAAGAGTTCTTTTATATGTGTTTTAAAATCTTCTATGTCTAAATTTGTTGCTTCTATGTTCTTAGTTTTAATTATGTATTCTGGATTCTTTATTTTTAACTCACATAGGATTTTATCTTTTTCCCAATATTTTAGAACATTTTCACCTATAATTTCCATCTTTTCTAATCTAGAAATTAAATTTTCTATTTCTTGTTCTGTTATTAGCATATATATATATATATACACACACACACACACATCGGTGACATGACACTCTATTTAATTGTTGAATAAGTGATTCACCAATCAAATGGTGTGTCATATCATCGATGATTAATATAAGATAAACACCGATATTTAGGAGATCATTTTCATATATATATAGTGATTTCATTGCTATGATAAAGGTTGCATTGTCGAAGTCTAAACTTACATAAATATTCTTTTCATTTTTCTTGTTATTAACTGTAAAGTAAATAAATGTGATTAAGCCCCTGTTTAACAACCATTATTTTTCAACTATTTTTTCTACATACTCGTTATAAATCACACATTCACACAAGCCAATTTATGCATGCAAACACACTTTTTTTTTCATACTTTCTAATCATATATTTTCTTTAAAAAAAAATACTATTCAAAACTTTGTTTTTCCCAATGGGGGCATAATGAACCGTACTTACATATGGAAATAGTTTGATTCGAGAATCTTGAGAATTAGACTGAATCAATTTCCAGTAAGAATTATATAATGGAATAATTGACCCTTTTGGGGAAAAAAAATGAAGAAGAAGAAGAACTGGAAATTACTTAAAGTTTCAATTCAAAATTCAGTTTTTTTTTTTTCAATAATCAGGTGATAATTATTTTTTGAAAAACATATATTACATTTCCCTATCTACTCTTTCTCTTGAAGAAACTCAAAGAGGAGACAATCACCTTATCAATTTCCTCTAGGTAGTGGCCAAGGAGGTCGGCGGCCAAGACATCGTGACCTAGGCATCATAGTGGTGCAGAACCCAAAATATATTAAATTGAGAGAGAGAAACTAAAGATGAATTTCATAGGAAAGATGGCTCGAAGTTTATTAACAAAATCTTTCACTTCCAATATATACTTGATGTTACACCCCTAACTAAACCACTTTGAAAAAATTGTCACACCACTCCCACGTGTCTATCCCCTAACTAAACCACTTCGGACAACAGTCACGCGCACTCCCCGAAGCAACACATGTTCATCCGAAGTGGTCCGAAGTAATACCCACTCCTGATGACCTCAACATGACGCGCTGCAAGGTGAAGAGTAAATCCACTGAAGAGTAGATCCCACGTGTCCATCCCCTAGCTAAACCACTTCAGACAACAGTTACGCGCACTTCTCGAAATGACACATGTTCACCCGAAGTGGTTCTGAAGTGATGCCCACTCCCGACGACCTCAACATGGCGTGCTGCAAGGTGAAGAGTAGATCCACTGAAGCAATTAAAATGTCTCTCAACTCCGAAGCGTTGAACATTCTGAGGCACTCCCTTAACAGATCCCTCTGCCACCACTGTCAGAAAGATATCTGTCAGGATCCCCTTTATCGCCAAAGATCAATTGATGTAACGTCTCCATAGATCTAGTTGATGTGATATATCGACTTTATGTCAACTCAACTCAAAAGAACTAGTTGCCCGCCCACTCTAGACGCGACTGATTGACGCCTATGAGCGGACGCCTCACACCGTCAGATGCATACACGTGTCCCATATTCAACAGCGCTCTACGTCTATAAATACTCAAGGTTTGGCAAAAGACAAAGGTAATGAAAACTCTTATAACTTAGCTCTCCACACTAAGAAATATATGTTCTCCTCCCCGGTCTTGCACAACTTGAGCACTGTTCCGATCACCCATTTGCTGACTTGACTGTCGGAGTGTGTGTAGCTGCTACCACCTCCGCTGGTTCCGACCGTGTGCTTCTAACCGTATGTTGTTGTGCACAGGGAGGATTACATGGAGTAGCTATTCGTTGGCCACGTGGAGGGCCAAATTCTCGAGGTCAACAGATTGGCGCCATCTGTGGGAAACTTTTCGTCCAAAAATCCGACATTGACCATCAGAAAAGCTACCAGTAAACCATTGACTTACCCTGAAAATGGCACTTTCTTGAAAAAGAACAATCAACCTACAATCAAAGTTCTTAACACCCTTGGAAAGGTAGACAAGATGAATTATAGTAATAAAGATGCAAATTTTGAAGGGTTTAGGGATGCCTCTGAAGAAGAGGTAATTAGGACCAATGTCACGCATCAGAGACCCCATCACTGAGGCAACAGGACAGCAGCGCTCACTGAAGAAATAACTCAAATAGCTGTCGAAATGAGGGTTGCAGCTCAGAATGCAG